TATTTTGAAAAGGAGTGTTGTATGGCTGAGGATGTGCCCTATCAACTAGTGTTGCACTCTTTGTTTATGTTGTAGTTTCCATGGAAATAAGTAAGTGGCACTACTTTTGGAGGGACCTACGTACTTCTCAGTCTTGTGATTTTAAAATAGGAAATTGTTTTCAAAGTTTTGAAAGCACTGTCATTTTTTCCCCCTCTTCTCAAACAAAAATATATCAGAAGGCATGTAGTCATCTTTCTTTGAAAGAGTATTTTTGATCAGGAAGCACTCTAAGTTTGTTAGGATGCTAGAACTGTTCTCACTCGATATTCTGTCAACAGCAGCCCACGTTTCTATTTTTTGGCCACTGCTGTATTCTGTACAACATTAACCTTGGATGCAACTTTTTCTATAGAAAAAGACTATTAAAGTGACTTTCTGAACATTACATATTAAAAAGGATTCAGTTCCAGATATACCTTCCTCACTACCCTGGAGGCTTTCTGTGAAAATTTCCCAGGTGTAAAAGTAAAGCCACAAGTATTGTAATAAGAAAATTCTCTCTTAAAATAGAAAAAATAAAGTAGATTAAATGAAAAAACAAGGCGCAAAATATGGAGTTGCTAAATCTCATTCAAACTTATCTAAGTTGACATGCTGCAGTAGATGCCCTTCCTGAATTTAGCTCATAGTATCACAGTAGATTTAAAGAAAACACACCTAAACAAGGAAAGTTGCTCCATACTAATTTTTCTTCACTGTCTCTCTACAGATATATCAGAGAAAGGATATCTTGTAACAATCTTGTTTCCTGGGTTTTAAACAGTTTTATAATCAGTGGACCTTATTAGATGTTAGAAATGATTAATCAGAATGTCACACTCAGACTGGTTACTTCAGCAATTTGGTAGTGTTATGTATAATTGGGAGTATTGTCTATGGTAAAGTGGAACACTCAGTATCATAGATATTTTCTTCTGTATCATGACTTTTTATCATGTAGCTTTGGAGAAAATTCTTTCTGTGAAACCTAACCTGTGAAATGTCCCTTAATGAGCCTGGAATGCCAAGGTGATGTGACCCCAGTATACCTGTCAGCTGTCCTCCAGCAAAGGTTGACTTGAATTCAGAGCAGTCAGCCTACAGAGAGAAACAATCATAATTGTATTCTGCACTCATCTGTCAGTAGTTGACATTAAATGTAAGACAGATCTACCATGGTGTTCAATTAATTGTCTCCTACACATTAAAGTAGGAGTTTATAAGTATTATGTATCTAACTCTCACTGAAAAAATGATTCACACTGATTTATCAGAAGGCTTACAATTTATGGTTTATAGCAATGCTTAAATGTTGCTAAATTTAATCACAATCAGACAGTATACCTAGATTTTTTTGTTCTATGTCTATAGTATATCCATAATAAGTCTAATTTTGTCATATTGATTCCCAAAATCTTGTAACTCTCATTCATAAAATATTAATCATGAAAGAAAAACAATTATTTTAGAGTTTTACTAATGCTCCATAGAAGGTCAAAATGACTATATCTCTGACTAATCACAAGGGCGTCAGAATCTGAATCTGCTCATGTTTTATAATGAAAAACAGAGTCTTATCACTGCAGCTGAATGAAAGTCTCACTCCTAAATAACAGACAAAAAAATCAACAATAAAAAGACTGGAAATGCCTACTTCAGAGAAATCCATCCAGTACCAACCAAAATACTAGTATTTTTCTTCATGGGTGTATAGGCTCACCAACAGAAGTAATTCAAATCCTCTATTTGCTTCTGCATGTGTTTTTACTATTCACCAGATTGCATACCTCTCACTTCCTCTCTAGCTTTATACCTCCATCCTGTATTTGTTCTTATCAGATAATTGCTGACTATTTCTGATTACAGCATACTCCCAGGATTCATAATATATATGGGAGGTAAGGTTAAGTATCTTGTCCATGACCCTGAAGTCCTGAACATGCACTAACATATCAAATCTTTTGCTTTTGCTTAGTTTGATTTCGTAGCGCTGAACTCCAAGAATTCCTCAGTAACGCGTTAGAAGACAAGCTCAAATTTCATTCTAAATTTGCTTGTTGACCAACAATTTTACTTAATGCTTCCTTAAATCAGTACAAAAGACTTCCCTCTTAACACTCAGTAATTCAATGTGGTGTACTTTCTCTATTCCCTTTTCAATAAGATGGCAACCCAAGAATCATCTCAAAAAACATCAGTATATTTCTACTTTGATTATATGAACAACATAACTTTTTCCAGCTAAAGTCATTTTGTATTTTTGTGAGTCTGTGATTCATCTATAAAAAGGATTTTGTAGTACAACTTCTGAAACAGTAAACCTCAGACTCTTCCTAAGATAAAATATTCAAATAAATAAATGATTTTATTTGATTCATTAGTTAGGACTTCCGCTGAAATACACATTATCTGAGATCAAGGCACATGGTTACATACAGACATCTGTAGCAGTACATAGCTGCTGTTAGTAAGACTGTTTTCTCTACTCAGAAAGCCATAAAGAGAAATCTTTATTTTGTTTGTATTTAACACAGACTTTTATATCTCAGGAATCTGAGAAGGGACTCAAGCCAAGAGCATTTCCCCATTGTGTCTGAGACCTGATGGGAAGAAAATGAGGAGAAATTTTGTAAGTCCAAGCTTGTATATTGCTTGTAAGAACCGAAGTAATTTTATATTTTCTATTTTTGTTATGGTTAAAAATATGAACAAGGAGGGAGAAATGGCATTTTATACAAGATGATGTCCTATCCAATTAAACAGTGATGGATCCCACCAAAATGCATTCTGTGTCAGCTTACATACGTTATGTTAGGGTTGAAGATCTGTACGGATACTCTCTTGGCCTTCTGCATAATGTGGATTTCACAGTTTAGAATTTAAGAAGCTCCTAAATTTGAGCCAGATGCTAAACTTCAGATTTTAACTAAAGTTTTAACAATGCCTAAATTTAGTTTTGAGAATTTCTCTTGCCCAACCATCTAAAGAAGAAATATAATGTCCTCTATAATTTTCAGATGATGAATCTTATGGGTCATGAACAAACAGCAGAACCTTGTTTACCTGGTCGTTTGCAAACTAATTATCTCCAATAAATGTTACACCCATCTGCCTTGACTTTGACCTCCCTGGAGGGAACAAATAAAACTTTCAATGCAGTTGCCTAGAGCTATACTTTTTGTAAGGTATTTTGTGTACTATAGCTTTAGCCTCCCTCCAGAGTGAGTGTTTTGCATCTAGAAAGAATGCAGAGGTTGCAGAAACTGCCAAGAAATTCTTTCTGGCCACTGGGCTGATGTGTAAAATTGATTTCCAGATGTATTCTCTCACTTTCTCTGCTCTTATATTTTGGTTTCAGATATCAGTATGTGAATGAGGGCAGAGCAAAAATAGCAATAAAGGAAATAAGGCATGGAGGCAAGAGTGCAAGTGGTAGAAGCTGAAATGGAAACAGTGAAGGAGAGACAACACATTCAGTCATACAAACATACATGCCTGTATATAGTTTACATTTCAGGATCTTGCTACATAAGGACAAAATTCAGACATGAATGTTTTATTCAGTTTTCTCTTGTAATATACCCCAAGTATTTATTACATTATTTGAATGGTAATACAAATGGAAGCAATCTTGACTTTGCAATATTTATTAGCTCTGTGCTTGATGAGGCAATATTCCTCCCACCTCATGCTAGTAGCTTAGCTGTCAAAATACAGTTGACCCAACATATGTAATTGTTCACATAAAATGGAATTAATTCAGCTGAAGACAGGGAAGTAATTAAGGACAAGGACTTTATTTTAGTATCACACATCCTAACACACTTTACTAACCACTGAGCTATCTGCTGTTCTGTTGATGTTAATATAATTCCATAGAACATTTAGGTTTTCATGAAAGAGCATTTTTCAAATGAATATGTTTATTTCTAAAATGTTTTTGTCAGCCTTAGTGAGGACAGGCTAAAAGAGTGAAGGGAGGAACAGGAGTTTATCAGAACACACTGAATACTGAACACCAAGTAATAAAAGCTTAATGTAACAAATTTCATCAGGAAGAAGGGAATTGAGCTTTGTCTCTGAGCTTTGGATAGAAAATGGCTATCATTTTTTTTATTTGTGTCAGGTTTGAAGTGTGACAAGGCAGAAGGAAAAGTCCTGATGGTGACTGTTCAGTGAGCCTTCATTTCTGCCTCTTGTGCTCCGGATAAACATATTCCTTTCCTTGTACTTTGCCATAGAGCCAAGTGCTTATATCTCCTGGAGGGAAGATGAGAAGTGCAAATGCCAGCCTCTGTAGCAGAGAAGAGCTTACTATAGGTTCCCTAGTAAGAACTGTTCAAGATGGTTTCTGATTTCATGTGACGATGACATTTATGTAGAAGCATGCTGGCTTGAGGGCACTTTTCTGCTAAAATCACTTTCAAGCTCTGCCCACAAACATAATTTCACAAGTGTGAAATTATAAGCAATGCTCTGAATAGATTGCTCAAGTTTTTAAATTATTTTCATAATAATTGTTAGTGTTTTTACTCTTCTAAGTTTGTTTACAGCTTTATAAAAACTTGTTTATAATCACCAATATTTTGTACTAAATTTAATGTTTCTTATGAATTAGACCTGTGAAAAATCTGTTTTTCCATAATATTTTTGCATACTATCTTGGTGATTTTGCTGCATATAAGCTATTAATACTTTCAAAAGTGTTCAGTAGTACTTAGATGAACTTCAGAAGTATGTACATTAATGTCAGCACATCAAGAGTCTTCCAAAAAATCAAAATAAAAGAAGTTAACAATTTCATAGGTTTAAAATGGTGTCTTTATTAGCTCTGTAACTGTGATTAAGAATCAAAGTGGAGAAAATTACCTAAATTTACCCTCCCCCTTAGTCAGCAGTAAGCTGTGTAGGACCCTCCCTAAACCAAATAAGGCCAGGAAGAATGTGCTAAGCATTGAGTGTGCTAAGAATAAAGTTGAGCTGGGGTGGATAAGGTTACTTTGAACTCCATATTTCATGTTTCCTGACATACCCCCCCAAAGAACAGCAATTATGTTAGTGAGGCTGCAGTAGCGTTAAACAGCTCTTTCCCAGATCTTTTGTTTTGTTGGGGTTTTTTTTTGCTGCTTCTCCATGCTTTCCTTCCCTGTTTAGAGATGAGCCTTTCTGCTGTTTGTTTGCCATGCGCATGGTTCTTAGGATATTAGAGAAAACTCACTGGAAGGCATGGCTATTTTTGTTAGAGGCTGATACTTAAGACTGAGCTTGAAGTATTGCTGCTGGAAGGCCTGAGGTTGCTCGGTGAGGGCAGGAGTCTGCAGAGGAAAGAGAAAGTTCAGAGGGGCACAAAAGAAGAACGAACAGAATTAGAAAAAGTGGAGTACCTCCCTCCTGCTTGTTCTGCAGCTCCTGCAAGAGTGAGCAACCCAGAGGTATTATCTAAGCTGCCACTGTAGATCTTGACCTTTTTAACAGAGTATCTCTTACCATCATCATCATGGCCGAGGTTACAGCAGAAGGTACGGTAACTATTTTCAAATATAATTAACCAAAAATGATATGTACTTTGACAGTGCAATTGAGCTGGTGTGTCAATATGATTTATTGCTCTTAGAATACAGTTCTTTCACTCCAGGATCATTTCAACTGTTTGTTGGGTTGCTTTCTTCCTCTCTTTCTTGTCTTTGGGTTGTAGTGTGTTGTTTTGGTTTTTTTTTTCCTTTTTCACTTGTAGGCAGAATTTTTACCAGTTTCAGAAGCAAGTTTTTTGTACACCTCTAAAAATAGCATTAGTCTCATATGCAGAGCAGCTCCATTGGAGTGATACAAGAAAGAGGAATGCCTGAATGCCAGGTGTTTCCACTGTTAATTGTTTTCTCAGGTAAATCACTGGTGGTCCCTAACAGGCAGAAATTTTCCCAAGTATAAACAAGGGAGCTTAGTTATTGGCCCTGATTTTTTTATGAAGCACAGAGCATTTGTGAACTTCACATCAGGTTAATGCAGAGTGAAAGCTACTTGTCCTTCAACCCTTATTCAGGTAAACTTCTAAAAGAGTCAGTGAAAGTTGTACTGAAATGATTATTCCAGAGTTTGGCTTGCAAGAATGAAAGGCAGTTGTATAACCTATAAATACATATTCTACAGTATGAATATTTCATGTACTTCAATATTTCCTGACCATTCATATTTAAATAACATTGTAGATGCATAACAATATTTTATCAACCACAGCGAGACAGAATATTTTTAAAACTCAGCTTCTTTAATACCGATTTTTTCAGTTCAATTTCATTCCTCTCTTTTTATTTCAGCGTGGATTACTCGACTGTTTATCCGAATTTAACAATGATACCACATACACACAAAAAAGAAAAAAGAAAAAAAAACAGAAAACCCCAACAACATACAAACAAACAAACAAACAAAAAAAAAACAGGCACAAAAGTTTAAAACATTCTTCTGAAAGTTATTTTTATTCTACTTGTCAAGGTTATGTGCATTTTAGTGTACCAAAGTTGTACTTTTTGTCTTCTATTTTTTAATTATTATTTTTAAGAGGATTTGTATTAAGCAGTATTTGAGAGTGAACCAAGTTGTCTTCCAAAAATTCATGTTAGAAATATGTCAAACTGTACAATCATTGTCTGATGTCTGCTTAACCACAGCAAGTAGACAATGTCGGGATGATTTTCTGATCATCAGTTGGATGGATCTATAAGCCACTTCTGGCTGCAAATACTGCCAAAACACGTATCTCTGTGTGACAGCCCTAATCCCAATGCTTGCACTAGTTTATTTGGAATTTCTTAATTGCTTTTGTTGAAAACAGTGATTACTTTGTAGTTGTTATCAGGAAATCTATGAAATTACATTTGTTTTCCAAAATGTGTACAGTAACACCATCACTGTTAGAGGAGCATTGTAGAATTACTTCTTGCAATGCTCTCCAAGCAAAACAAAGTAACAAATATCAAGATTCTTTGAAATTTGTAGCAAGCTTAAATGACTTTTTAGTCTAAAAGTGTCTTTTCAATAACTTAGCTAATCAAAGAAAGAAGATAAAAGATCCTAAAAAAAAAACCCCAACGAACGTGGGATCTGAAAATGTTTTCACAGTGTTTACAAGTGCTCCTTAGCTGTCACAATGCCTGCTTTTTTGCTTTTGTGCAAATCAGTAGACTTAGGTGACAAGAGGCATCAATCAGCTCCTCAGTACCCGTCTTTCAGCAGGACAGGCAAATTCGCTAGAGACTAGCTGCTGTTCTTTTGTATATTTGGAATAGGCTTATGTTGATTGGCTGATTTTTAAACATCATTCATGAGGTGGAAATTGTACTCATGGTAAAAAACTAAGAATTCAGCCTGAGACTAATGTTCCACTGCAGTTTATTTTCCTCTGGGGCTACTCCTGGCAGTCACAAATAAATCTGAAAGTTTAGGTCTAAAATTCAGCAACTTACAGTTTCTGCAAGCAAACAAACAAAAAAAGTATGTCTTGTTTTATATAATGTCTTTTTGATTTTTATTTTTTTTTTAATTATTCTTGTTTTTTCTCAGTCTGTTATTTGCTCAGGTCTTAATGATTTCCCTAGGTTTAAAATCCTTGCTCAAAGTGGTTGGAATTCTAACCTCTGTTTTGTAATGTCAGCCACATCTCACTCTTTGTCCATGGAGTAACATTCTGACATATCAGAGTGTATATAGCAGTGTGTAAGGAGCCATGCAGGCCTTGGGTCTGCCCAAGGCCAAGCTTGTTCAGCTTGGACACATTGATACTATTGACACACATCTCAAGATATTTTCTGACAGCCAATGCCATGGCCTATGGTAGGCAGATACATTGGCTTGATGGAGTGCTCTTTCAGATTGACCTCACTGTAATAACAATGACAAAATTTCACTGAAAAATGTATTCACAAAGCAACAACTCCTTGAACTGTAAGACTCACATGCTGCCTCTACATTATCATAACAACAAATTGCATGATGTTCAGATTTACTGGTGAAGTATACCTGGCAAAAGGCAAAAAGTAATCTGTGAAGACAGCAACCTATTAATATCCTGAGAAAGCTGCCAGGACTTAGGTATCCTGCTGGTAAATATTTAGAAGATTCCAAGGGATTATCTTCAGCATTCTCATATTACATGTAACTGCAATCACAGAGTTGCACTACTGAAAGCTGGAAGTCCATACAACTGTGTACAAATAAAAGTTCAGTAGAGATATGACTACTCTGTCTTTGTAATGCTCTCAGTAATTGTAGTAGTTATTATTTATAATAATTACTATTATTATTATTATTAATACTAATTTCAGCTGCTGCTGAGATTTCTATAAATGTCAAAGACTTCTATGACCTCTTAGGAGCTTGCCTGGAAAGACAGGGGTATCTATTTATGCACCTACGCTGTGCTTATGAACAGTGATTGGCCTGGGCTCTATGGCACACACAGTTAGAGCTGCCACCACTGAAATATGAATACAGAAACCCTTGTTGCTCTGAGAAATGGCTTGTATCAATGTACAGCTTTATCTGTATGTGTACGATAGCTGCAGCAACTGCCCTATATTTGGTCATTTCTACTAGCCCAGTCTACTGCAGGTCGCAGAGCAAAGCTGATGGCCATCCTCTGGCACATTTTCCTCCCACACATGGAAGAATGAGCAGAGGCTTAGAAGCATTCAGAGCCTCTCCTTGCTTCAATGCACTGGAGACTGTGCACTGATCTGTTCCAGAGAGGTGAGGAGAGTAGAAAGATGAGGTTTCTCCTCCAGCTGTTTGTCTGCCACAATTTATTTCCCCAGTGGAGCAAGAGAGAAGCAGGCATTGAACTGAAATGTGTCAGTGAGTCACAATTTGGTCCTTATTTTATTGCTGAGAGCTATGCGACTACACATTTTCTCAGAGTAGGCTGCAAGACAGGTGAGCCCTGAGGCTACAGGCAGCTTGTCAGTGACAAACTCCAAATTAGCTTGTGACTTTTGGTCCTCGTCTCTGGCTGTTTGATAACTACTGAAAGTCTTAAGATGTAGAACATTTCAAAAAGCAGATTTAATGTGATCTGCATGTTTGAAAATGAATATACATTAAACCTGAAAAATACGGGAAATAATGTGCAAAAGCCAGCAGGTAAAGTGATAAAGACTTGCAGAGGGCAATGGCCAGAAACTAGCAATAGTTTTCAGTAGGCAATAACTAGCAAAGTCACTGTTGGCTACTTTTCATGGTAATTCACAAAGTGCTGCTAGTTCTGCTGGCAGCAAAAGCAGCCTAGGTGAATGAATTAGGTTAGATTATTCGGTGTTATCATTCATTTTGATTAAGTCATGTGAGATGTTTCCTGTCCTTTGGTTAGACTGTTAGATTTAGAAAGTTTATATAGAATTTATTTGCAAGAAGACAATTTGCAATATGAAAGGATATAATCTTTTTCATGCCTCAAGTGTTGACAAAGAAGAAAATAGACTGCCTTCTGCAGAGAAAAGAGGAAATAAAAACAGGATAATTTTGGCAATGACTTTTTGAAGCAATCATTCTTCTCCCATTCAAAAGTAAAGTCAACAGCCTTATTATCTGGAAAGAAAAAGAAAACTCAGGACTGCCTGTAAAAATGTAAACCTTCCAGGGTAACAGAAGCTGCGTATTCTCTCTGAAGTTCCTCAAAACTTGGATTTCCCTCTGCCTATATTTTGAACACCTGAGCTGATTGGTCTGTCTGGCACCTTGTAGCCTGAGGCAAGCAGGCCTGTGACCAAATTTGCTAACCTAAATTTCAGGCTTAAAAATTAGAGGGCACTTTTACTCACAGCTGCAACACTATGCATGCGTGCTTAATCAGTACAGAGACTTGCAGACTTTTACTTTAGGGATCCCTCTGGAAAGCGAAATTAGCTATGGAGAGTGGGAAGTCTTCGAACATGTAAACAGAGCATAATCTAACATGCAGTGACACTGCCCTGTCATGGTCTAAAAATTGACTGTGCACAGCTAACTTGTGTTTATGAGTGTGTTAATGGTGTGAATACAGGTTGGACCATTTATTTTATTACTCTTTTTTTTTTTAAATATCTTTTTGCTCAGCAGCATTTGGAATATTTTTATGGTTACTTACATAACGAGTGAGATATAAAATCTTGGCAACATTTTCAAATTATAAGTGTGTCCAGCTCCCACTGATTCCAAAATGAAATCTGTGCAACCTGTTAGATTCACAAAAGCGCCAATCAGGTACCTAATCCTAGAAAAAAGTCTATAAATGTTTTGAGAGGTTCTGCTCTTTGCCTACAATGTAAACACTAAGGGGTGGATTCATGCTGCTTCTGCTGCCATAATTAAACCTTCAAAATCTGAGCTCTGTTCTGGAGAGCAGAGTTTGATTTAGGTTAAACTACATTTCATAATGCAGGTCTGGCATCAGTCCAGGACACACTGAGGACAGGGAAACTGTAAGTGACCTCTGCAAGGCAGGGCAGCTGCTTGTGGGAATGGCAAAGCTTTCCTGTTCTCTCTGATG